TTTTTTATGTCTTACAGACAAGTTGAATCGTCTAGTTTCAGACATATCCGAATATCTCCTTCATATTTCCCAGTGGATGAATGCCCTGGTGTGTGTTGTTTGTGTGTTTTGGTTGTGTGACCATCCATCTGTATAATAATCTAAATGGCCTCAGTGCAGACTGGGTCATAGGACGAGTTGACCTGTGACCTGATATCTGCTCTGTAAAACAGACACGTGTGCCCTAAGAGACATATGGTGCCTCTGTGTGTTCATGTTAATAATTTCCTACTCCCACACCCTCAGACCCACTTTCCAATGGATATCCAATACGTGTGTGGACTGCTGAGTGTGAGGCACCACCGACCAGCCGCATGTTTGTACACTTGACTCTCCTGCAACCCGCTGATTTATGACGGGGCTGTGTGTATGTGAGAGGGAAGGCAAAAATGTTTGGTTTGTGCAAATGAAAGCGTGATCGGGTCACAAATGTAAAATATTCAAGTGTTTTTTCGTGAGGTTTTGTGTACGCTGCAGTGGGAAGATAATGTACTTGTTCTTTGCCATAGGCTCACAGTGTGATCACGCACTAATCATCAGGCTGCAGCTGATTGACTTCACTAACTTTGATTATTAAATCATCTGTTCATGATTTTTCTGATTAACCTTTTACCACCCGCTGTTCCAGCTGCAGGACACAAACATCTGTGACGCCAGCACTAGTGAAAGCCACGTTAATTATTGTTTCTTCAAGTTTTAATGACGTAAAGAAATGGGGATTTTAATCCACTGATTAAGCATCACACCTATAACATCGTCAGACTCTTGATGAACAGTTTTATTTTTAAAAGTAGTAACAAAATCGATGCAGCAGAAGCAGTAATATCGTCTTCGTCCTTCTCAAAATATTGCCTCTACATTACCCACAATGCAGCTCAGAGATTTGTGTGTGATATGCTAGCTATTTAAATACATTTAAATAAAGGAAATTTTAGAAGCATTTCTCTGTCGTAAAACCACATTTAGATGATTATTTGGGGAGAATATGTTTACAGAAAACACAGTATAACTGAACAGTTAAATAAACAATAAAAAGGAGCCGGCAGCAGTGAAACTGGCAGAAATGTCACTAGGACCATGTTTGCGGTGTCGTATACGTCTGCTAAAAATCCTTGTTTTTGCCACAGACAGGTTCAGATTGTTATTCAAAGTGTCTGACAGCATTAAATAAAGACTCCCTACAGAGATAGACATTTTGCTAAAGAGTAAGATCCTTTTTGTTTAACCAGAATCAGCCCTGAAATCACCATAACCAAACCCACCAGATTTCATTTAAATAAACAATCATTTTAGAGTGTATAGTGGCAGCATATTCTCAACGTCTAACTGGGTGAATTAAGGGTTTATTTCAACCAAACCAGAGTTGGTGATTGTTGGAACAGTTGAAAGATGAACCAACATGTTTTTTGAGGGTTGTATTCTGTTACTGTCGATTCTGAATGAAGTATGTTTTATGATGATAAAATTACTGTTTATTTAAATGGAGTCTGGTGACAGGTTTGGTGACAGTGACTTCAGGGTTGTTTCTAGTTAAACAAAAAGGATCTTACTCTTCAACAAAGGCTATATCTCTGATCCTTTCTATAATATAATGTCCTCAGACACTTTTAGAGGATGTAAAATGACAGTGTGAGCATGCCCCGACTGGTTAATTGCAGCCTGTTCAGCTACTGCCAGCTGCAGCACTCTCGATCAATATTGGACCAATTAAAAAATAAATTGTCTCCATTAATCACCTACACGCAAAAACATGGGGAAATATGGTACAGGTTGAAAAATAATGAAGTTGCGCTTTAAAAACCTGGTCTCTCCAAGGGTCAGTAGCCTTACCCTACCATTATAAAATGTCATCAGAAGCTACCAGAGTCTGACCAAAAAAAGCTACACACAGTGAATGTTTCTGTATTTTTGACTAAATGTTGATTGAATCAGTGTTTATTTACAGCAAAGGTTTGTTCTGGCTGCATTTCTGGCCGTCTGGTAGGACCGATGGATGTGTTATGCATGATGTTCTGAGGGTGTTAGCCATCTGTACTCAGGAGTAGCAAGAAGTCCACTGTGATTCAGAACAAAAGATTTACATGAATGGCTTTTTATGTTGGGGGATAAAAATGATGCAAAGTTAGTAACTGGACTGTTATTCAGTGCTGACTCGGCAGGATGCATCACAAAGCCACAGGACACAATTAAAGTGTCATGTACTCTGCTCCTGTAAGAAAGAGACAAAGAGAATAAAGCCGAAAAAACAGAAAAGGTCTTCAGGGTATGTCAGCAGTTTGCTCGTCTGTTTGTGTGTGCGTGTGTGTGTGTGTGTGTGTTTCAGAGCTTAGTCTGTCTGTGTGCGCTTTGCTGCCGTGGCAACAAGAGTTACCACATACTAATATTTTAGGTTAGCCTTACGTAATGGTCTGCTTTTGTCAATACAGAGAGTGGATTTTCAGAACAAGACGCACTGGAGGCTGCTTTGTTTGGAGCCTTGGGCTCCACGCTGCTCCACTAACTGACCATTGTGCGGTCTTCAGACAGATTTACTGTGTCATCAGCTGCCTTTTTCCTCCTCTTTCCTTCCAGTCCAAACACAAGTATCCTCCCAACACTCTCCAGTCAATACTATTTAGATCCTCTTATTTTGTTTTTTTGCCAAGAGACAAGACAGACAGTTAAACTGAGAGATTGAGAAAAACTGGTGAGGATGAAAGAAGCTTTTTATGTGAGGCCATAGGAACACACCGGATGTTTTATATTAATGGCTCAAGAGGCAGCAGGTTTTTGGTACTCTAGTTTGCCTAAAAGCCTGTGCAGACTGCAGCGTCTGACGTCTGTCTGCAAATGTATTTTGTCCCCTTAGTTTTTAAAAAGGGCATTGCTTTTTATAACATGTATTTTGTCTGGAAAATCAATAGAAGGGCTGTCATTTCGTGTCTGAAGCTGTTGAATGAGGCGTTACACAATTTTGCACCTCTCAGCAGCAGTTATCACATGTATACCTGAACCATGTGTGAGGGCTGATATTTCTCCAAGGCCATAATAACAATAAGACTGTCAGACTGTCAGGCTTTAGATTTTCAAGCCATCATGACATCAGCTCCACTCCTGATAACACCCTGGGTGCTGAATTTTTGTGTCTCAAATATATAACTTAAGGCCCGACACAACAAACCGACATCAAAGAACTAGTGGCAAGAAAAACTGACTGTTGCATCCCTTCACATTGGCTGTGTCTGGGCTAAAAATCAGAGTGATTTTTCTCAGTAAAGCCCCGTTTCTACCAAATACTTTCAGTATGGTACCTTTGGAACCTACAGTAACCCTTCAGACATGGTACCTAGACCCTAGTGTTTCCACCACAAACAGTCCTCTTAAATGTGGGCGGGGTTGTTGTCACTCACTGCTCCGTCCAGCACTCACTGTATTTCCTCTGTTTCAGTCCCAGTGAATTAGATTATTTTTCTCCTTTCATTTTATAGTTACAGTTTACTACACTGAACAAAAATATAAACACAACACTTTTGTTTTTGCTCCCATTTTTCATGAGCTGAACTCAAAGATCTAAAACATTTTCTATACACAAAAGACCATTTCCCTCAAATATTGTTCACAAATCTGTCTAAATCTGTGTTAGTGAGCACTTCTCTTTGCCGAGATAATCCATCCCACCTCACAGGTGTGGCATATCAAGATGCTGATTAGACAGCATGATTATTGCACAGGTGTGCCTTAGGCTGGCCACAATAAAAGGCCACTCTGAAATGTGCAGTTTTGCTTTATTGGGGGGGGGTCTGGTGTATCTGGTGTGACCACCATTTGCCTCACGCAGTGCAACACATCTCCTTCGCATAGAGTTGATCAGGTTGTTGATTGTGGCCTGTGGAATGTTGGTCCACTCCTCCTCAATGGCTGTGAGAAGTTGCTGGATATTGGCAGGAACTGGAACACGCTGTCGTATACGCCAGTCCAGAACATCCCAAACATGCTCAATGGGTGACATGTCCGGTGAATATGCTGGCCATGCAAGAACTGGAATGTTTTCAGCTTCCAGGAATTGTGTACAGATCCTTGCAACATGGGGCCGTACATTATCATGCTGCAACATGAGGTGATGGTCGTGGATGAATGGCACAACAATGGGCCTCAGGATCTCGTCACGGTATCTCTGTGCATTCAAAATGCCATCAATAAAATCTTTTGTGTGTATAGAAAATGTTTTAGATCTTTGAGTTCAGCTCATGAAAAATGGGAGCAAAAACAAAAGTGTTGCGTTTATATTTTTGTTCAGTGTAATAAAACTCTCCACAGTATGAACAGTGGTTACATGAGCCTCCAGACACAACTTAGCTCTGAGCAGAGTGACCGTCCTCTACTGACCAATCAGACTGCAGTGTTCACAGCTCCACCTTTTAGTACCAGATCTGTGTGCTAGGTACCCCAACAGAGGGGGGACCAAACATGGGGACGGTACGGAACGGTTCCATTGGGACCATCCACAACTTTTCACAGTGGAAACAAAAAGAGCGTACCCAACTGAACTGTATGGTACTGCTCGGGGGAAACAGGGCTTAAGGGGCTCCGCTGGCTCTGACACAGATTTAACACGCTGAATTGGCAGAAAAAAAGCCGACAAGGGCCATTGGTATTGGACACACTGAAAAAACTAGGGTCACAGACACTCACCTACGGCCCGACATTGACTGAGAGCCAACCGTCGCCTTGGTGTGTTGGTGGCCTTACAGCCGACTGCATGAATCAATGAACAGAAAAAAATAGGCAGAAAATTTCTCTAGTTTCATCATATATCACTGTGACCTGCATATCTGGGTATATCAGACTCAGTCAAACAAAATGAGACGTCACCTTGGGCTCCAGGAAAATGCAACAGGCATTGTTTTTCCACAGTCTTTTAGTAATCTTGAGTTGCAGTCTTTATCTCACTCCTCTTCATTCTGTTGTGTGTGTGTTTATAGGCAGAGCGCAGCTCTTGCGATGTCCTCAGCATCCCGGTGCCCATTCGTCGCGGCGGCTCGGAGTCCAACCTGGACGTGGTGGACAGTGTCGGCGATGACGGAGTGGGCCTGGATTTCACCAAGGGAGCGCTGGGTATTGACAGCCTGCAGCAGAAGATCCTCAAGGTCAGAGGAAACAAATCATCTCCTCCTGTGTGCTCTCACTGTGGATTTACTGTGTTTGACTTGCAGAGCGCTGTGAGACACGTGGGCCCTCCGAACATACACCACAGAGATATAATGAAATACCTGCTGAGCTCATTCTGGTGGTGGTTCGTAGAGCAGTAAAAGAAAACATTAATTTAATGATGAGCTAATTAGATTTCAGTGGAGACCACAGATACCAATCAAAACGGCTATTAAATTAATTGGTTTAATTACCAAGAAAATGTATTCTATCCTATCTTGTGATTTATTTTCATTTCAGTCCCTTCTGTCTCAGCTTTCATTGGTAGAAGAGTTTCTCAGAGAGGAATTATTTCCACTATACGATCATTAGGCATCAGTGCAATTTAGTTTGATCATTTTCAGCTGATTTAGTGGTTTATTCTCATTTTTAAAAGTATTTTGCGGCCGTAACCAAAACCTAATGAAGAGATTAACGACAAATAATGTAATGAAGTTCTGCTCCCAGTGAAAAATACAAACAAAGCAACAAAGCATTTTATTTTGAGTTTTTTTATTTCGAGTCTACATTGTCAGTGGGCACCAAATATTAGACCTGTCACTATAACTACTTTAATGGGACGATATATTTTCCAGAAATGATTGCAATAAACAACATTATTGTCATTTTGAGACCCTGATATATCACTGATACAAACAGATTAATAATGCATGTGTATAAGGATACATATACACTTCCAAATTATTGATGCAATTTTTTTAACATTCTAAATCAAGCGTTTGTTAAATCCATGCTTCTCCTTTCATTCTGCCTTCAGGTGACGGAGCAGATTAAGGTGGAGCAGACGGCTCGGGACCAGAACGTCGCCGAGTACTTGAAGCTTGTGAACAATGCCGACAAGCAGCAGGTGTCACGAATACGTCAGGTCTTTGAAAAGAAGAACCAGAAGTCGGCGCACTCCATCGCCCGGCTGCAGAGGAAGCTGGAGCAGTACCACCGCCGCGTGAAGGACGGCGAGACCAACGGCAAACACAGCCACAAGGACGGCAGCAGCAAGGAGTCCGGGACACACAGTAAGGAGGGCAGCCTGCGGGACGTCAGCGCCACCGGACGGCACCCGGCGCTGGATAAAGTGAAGACAATCGGGCCCGGGGTGTCGCTCTCACCGCCGTTCTTCTTCAACAAGTCGCGGGAGTTTGCCAACCTCATTAGGAACAAGTTCGGTAGCGCTGACAACATCGCCCACCTCAAGAACTCCATGGAGTCGGGGTCGGGGCTGCAGGTGGACGCTGGGGCAAGGGGTCTGAGCGGGAGTGCCACCACGGTAGCGAAGACGAGTAAGTACCACAGTGATGACGAGTGCTCCACGGGGACGTCCGCGTCCGCTGACTCAAACGGGAACCCGGCAGGGGGCTCCGGGGCTGGATCTGGAGGTGCGGGGAGGTCGGACTCCAACGGGCGGCTGGGGGAGGTGCTGGACATGGTGCGGGAGATCAGGGAGGCTCAGGCACAGCTGGCAGAGGACATGGAGACTCTGAATACACAGTTCAAACGAGATTACAGCTACTTCACACAGATGATGCAGGAGGAGAGATACAGGTAGGTCCCAGCGGCATCACAGCGTCAAGGAATGTAACCCCCATATCATAATCATACCCACACAGGACACACACACACGCAGTAATGGTCTGTTCAAATACACAAGGTCCATATCTGCAAGAAGATTAAAGACATTGGAAAGAAATCTATATTGCTTTTGGATAGACAAAATTATTACGTATATTTTCCTCTTTTTTCTCGCAAAATACTGAGTAGTTAATCTTTCTTATACCCCTTAAAGTCCTTCAGATGAAACCATCCCTGAGGGCAAAATGACTCTCTGGTTGAGCGGCTCATATGCATGGCCACACTAAAGCCATAACCTGTAGAAGTAGGAAAGGTCACAAGTACTGTACTTCATTTTAAGGCGTCACAAGCAAAAAAAACCCCCTTTTAAAAATCTATCTCAACATATCAGTGCAAATATTTTGTGCTGCAGGTGTGTCAATAACCCGCACCCTACAGTAACACTCCTAGCAGTTTGTTTGTACATCTGTTGAGCTTTAAAGAGCTTTTGACAGTTAATATATGCTTTTCTAAACTAAAAATAGACAGCAGAGCTCACACACACACACACACACACACACACACACACACACAAACCTCCCGACTGTTGCTAAGTCAACCAAGGGCAAATGTTTTCAGCTATGTTGCAGTAGTAGATAAACTGCTGCACTGTTACTCGCCCACACATACATTTAATTATGCATCATTTTCTCCTGCTCTCTCTCCTTGGCCCTGTCACTCTGCGTGTGTGTGTGTGTGTCAGGTATGAGCGGTTGGAGGACCAGTTAAACGACTTGACGGAGCTCCACATGCATGAGACCAATAATCTGAAGCAGGAACTGGCCAGTATCGAGGAGAAGGTGGCATACCAGGCCTATGAGAGGGCCAGAGACATTCAGGTAATGTGTGTTTCTGTATACACATATGAAAGAACGAGTTATGTAATACACCACAGACTCAATTTAAACATATATTTGAACAAGTGCAGCACTATAATTTCTCTGTTCTGAGTATACAGACACAGAAGTCCAGTACTGAAATCATTATTTGATTAAATGATGGACAGAAAGTTACAATCTATTAAGTGTTGAAGGCATGTATCAAGTTAAAATGTGCCCTTTGCAGATTCATTGTAAATGTGAGGATATCAGTTTTATTTTATTATAAATTGAACAGAGTGACCAGAGTCGCCAAAGGAGAGCGGCTACTTCAGGTTTCCCTGGTCCTGGGTGTAAAAGAGCAATTAGTTTTTTCCACAGACAATGTTTACATGTACGTGAAACTCCCAATCGGATTACAACTACAAAATAGGCCCGCACAATTAATCAAATATTAATCTCGATCTCGTGCTCTGCTTATAAAAGACTTTGCTGCTTATCAAATCAAGCGCTTCCTAAACTAACAGCCAGCCTCAGCTTCCATGGTGCCTTGCTGCAGCCTGTTGAAAACTTCCCTGAACGTTGCAGCGGCAGTCAAGAGGAGACAATAATATTCAACAGAGAGCAGAAAGGCAAAACAAAAAATCAAATGTCTGGAGCAGAGGCAGCTGAGTTAATCCCTCAAAATGGATCATCTGTTGTTTGGAAGAATTTCAGATTTAGGGCGTGTTATTAAGCAAAAACAAATCATATGCAACGAGTAAATGAGACTCATGTCCGCAGCAAAGCAGCACAACCATCTTGTTCAACAACCATGAAAGGAATGAAAGCCAAGAAGAATAGCGTTGCTAACTTTTCCAGCGTCAACTTGTCAACTTGGACATTTAGAACACTGACGCTGCACAGCATGTCAGCTTAACCATCCAGCTCTCAAAGACAGATAAGACAGACTAAAATGACCAATGCAATCCCATTTCATTTCGCCAAGTATGTGTCCAAAAAGCACAAGTTTTCAATTGGTTGAATTTTGTTATAGTATATTTATTTTTAGTTAAAGGGATAGTGCACCCAAAAATGAAAATTCAGCCATTATCTACTCACCCATATGCCGACGGAGGCCTTGGTGAAGTTTTTGAGTCCTCACATCCCTTGCAGAGATCGGCGGGGGGAGCAGCTAGCACACCTAATGGCTGACGGCGCTCCAGACTAACGTCCAAGAACACAAAATTGAAACCACAAAGTATCTCCAACATGCTCATCTGTAGTGATCCAAGTGTGCTGCAGCCCGACATAAAAAGTTGTTTGGAAAAACGTCATGTGAACTCTGTTTTTAGCCTCACTGTAGCCTGTAGCTCTGACTGCTTCTCTGTGCTCCGCGCCTTTGTCAGCATATGGGTGAGTAGATAATGGCTGAATTTTCATTTTTGGGTACACTATCCCTTTAACCTATATCTTTGGGTACACTGGGTATTTTTATTTTGCTGCTAAGAATTACACAGAGTTCAGGAGAAGAACCATCTTTTAAGTCTGATTTTGATGCAGATATTTGTTAATTAGCAAAACTGTAACACATCATGGAATGACTTTGATAAATTATCGTGATGTCATCTATTTGTGCAGCCCTGTTGTGTTAGAAAACATCTGGTTCTTTGATAAAATGTCAGTAGTAGTAGTAGTAGTAGTAGTAGTAGTAGTAGTAGTAAGAAAACTTAATACTGAACCCTAAGGTGCATTTTGGTAAGAATCATCCAACCACAGAGTTTTAAGATTGAAGGCCCAGACACACCATACCAGCGCTGGAGAACTAGCCGTGATGACAGCCCCTTGTTGCTTCGCCTCTCGTCGCTGTGTCTAAGCCACAAAGTTGCACATGAACTCACAAAACCGACGACCGAGTGCATGTGTTTTGTGCCTGTGTGGGAGGACGTACCCCTCCATACCAGCAGATGGCAGTCGTCTGTAATCGTCATTCATAAAGGGAAACCGGAAGACTGTCTGGACGCTAGTTAGCCAGTTAGCACATTAATCCAATGTTGAAATCACAGAGCATATTTACAGAGCACCAGTGAACAATGACACAATCCATTAGAAATGGTTCTGCTAAAGAGCTCAATATTTCCAAAAGTGGCTAAGGATCATGGGTATTGTAGTTTGAGCTGATTTGACTAGGTTGTTATGTAATTCGGTAACCTCCTGTATTTCTATGTTTAGTAATATTGGTACCATTAAAAGGAAGATTCTGTTCTTTTTTAATTGGCTGTACAATTCCCATTTTTGTTTTCAATTTGGGATGTTTGTCTTTTTATAGAAAAAGACAAGTAAGACTCACCTGAGCCACCGAGTTGCCTTCAGCATCTCCAGTTCATTTGTAATGTTAAACACAACTCGTGTTCATTTCTAATGCAGCTGATGTCAACTCATATCTAATCCTCCAGTTTCACTGCCCTTCCCCTGTGAGTCACTGCTCTTCAGTATTTCCCTGATCTCAACCAGATTGTGTGTGTGTGTGTGTGTGTAGGAGGTCCTGGAGTCGTGCCAGACTCGTGTGTCTAAGCTGGAGCTCCACCAGCAGCAGCAGCAGACAGTTCAGCTGGAAAACACCGATGCAAAGGTGCTGCTGGGGAAGTGCATCAACATCATGCTCGCTATCGTCACCGTGATCCTCGTGTGCGTTTCCACGGCGGCCAAGTTCACCGCCCCGCTGCTGCGTAGCCGCCTCCACCTGGCGCTTACCTGCGTGGGCGTGTCCGTGTTGGCGCTGCTGTGGAAGAACTGGGAACATCTACCGTGCGCGTTGGAACGATTGCTCCTCCCGCACTGATGCACAAGAGCACAAGTGAGACCAGAAAACGTACGCCGACCCTGGAGTCAAGTTCTCTGCGAGGTGTGTTGTCATGGCAACGCAGAAAACACTGGGGAGGGAGTTTACATGTAGCCTTACACCAGCCCCAGTTCCCCAGAGATTTTGGGCCCCGCCGTGATTTATGGCTGTGCTTTGCATGTCTAAATGGGTCCACACAAATACACAGCCTTTCCCAGAATGCACCTCTACTGTAATTCCAACACACAGATGTAAGCTGATATAAATATAACTGTGACAAAGGCTGCAGGTGCAAACACACACACTTTGCACACACTGACATTAAAGTGCATCACTACAGTCCAAAGTATCAGACCACTAAAAGATCAATCAGCTGGAAGTGATCAGCCGCATTATTGGCTTTGTGACTCGTCACCTGCTCTCATGTGGTCGTCAGAAGATTCTGGATCGCACCAACAACACGCGCTAAAATCTAAATATAGAGAATATCATTGGTGCATGGAAATACAGCGATTATTTCCTGCCCTTAAAGGGAAGCGTATCTGTGATAGCACCACCTCACACCTCTAAACAAACACTCGCTGGCGGTTTGTGTCCAGTCGAGCAGCGTTGAGCCCGCACACAGTACGCCTCCTTGTACACCAGCCAGCTGTGACAACACAAAGACACATCCACCTGAAGGGTGATTTGTACTGCGTGTACTCAACTCTTCTGTATTTATGTGACGTTTCTTTCTTTCTTTCTTGTCAGTGTCTCATTAAAAAGGACATTTTTAAGCTGTTGTGTGTTTGTGTTTGTCTGAGTGTATGTTCATGTCGTGTACGCCTGCTTGTGTGTGTGTCTACTATGTTTAGGAAGTTGTTTCACATTTTGTGAAATGTTCATTTTATTGGTGAGAGGTTGGTGAGAACATTAACGACTAGAGATGTACCGATTGATCAGCTGGTGAACGAAATCGGTAGATTTTTAGCTTGCTCCACATGGAGCTGACCCTGTGCCGATCAAATTTACTTGCACGCCCCCACACGATGATTCACGTCACAAACAGACTATTGTCAGAAGTTGTAATCCATTCCCTCGCATGCTGCACATGGTTTGAAAGCTGTGGTGTTAAACTAGCTAGCAGACTGGACTACACTAAAACATTTAGCGTAGTCCAGAGGGTATAGCTCGATGAAAACACAAATATGGATGGTTTACCGTGTAGATAACTAGCAGACCTCTGGGGTAGTTGACAATAAGATGTAAAGTTTCACATAGACAAGCTAATGCTAACTGTTTCATGTCAGTGCAGAGTTTCCCACACAGTTATTATTTGTGGCCGCCAGCCATTATGTCTGCTGCCACGTTTGGATTTTCTATTTTTGGAGCTAGACCATTCATGAGGTGCGCTGCTGGAATATATGTACTGTTCCAATACCGTTCTCAGAACGCAGAACGTACTATTGGAACAGACGGAGCAGCAGAATTGTAGGCACTATGATAGTGAAACTTAACCATTCATTGCGCTGGGTCTAAAAGTCTGATTTCCTCACCGCATGTGTTCGGCCCCTAGCGTAGTTTGCTAGTTAGGCTTGTTAGCTTTTGAACCAAGTAGGTCCATGTGATAAATTTGGTAGTTGATTCCGTTGCAGCAAAACGTTTCAACGCCAGTGACTGAAAGGAAACGGTAAAGGCCCGAACATACTTGGGCGGAACGTACGCGGAACGGACTCCGTGGAGGTCCGCGCGGACTCAAAGCAGACGTCCGCAAGCCCTGTGCGCGCAAAGCTCAGATTTTACGACCGCGCGGACTCCGCTCCGTGCACGAGTGACTGCTCGGCATGTATTTTTCACATCGCGGGGATTTTTCATGGACATTTTTACAGGAAACTACAATGCGGAAGTGCGCTCGACTATGAAAGCCCGAATGACTGCGGACATTCCTCGCGGAGTCCGCTCTGCTTATAGTACGCCCAAGTATGTTCGGGCCTTAACGTTACTTGAGCTGAAAGGGAGCTGTTAATTAAACGTGATCTGATCACACCTCCACAATCCTGAGAAATGGTTTGTGGATGCTTAATGAGACTCATATTTGATACCACATATGAATTATTTCAGCAAAGTTTCCAGGGTTTTTAAGAAAAGTTCCAAGTATGTTTGTGCATGCTGTCGATTATAGCTCTTAGAAAGAGAGAAAATTGGAGTTAGCAGGTCAGAATTTTAAAGAATCGGAAATCAGAATAGGCTGAGAAAATGTCAATCGGTGCATCTCTACTAACAACACTCATGTCTACATGAAGCTAGGTCAGGAGACGATTAGCTTAGCTTAGCATTAAGATGGGAAACAAGGGGAAACAGCTAGCCTGGCTCTGTCAGACAGTAACAAACTCCACCTACCAGCTTCTGTAAAGCTCACTAATCAGTATGTTCTATATATATATTGTTTGATCTGTACAGAAAATATTGTGCAGGACTATTTATTGGGTGGAATCTGCATGAACTTCCTGCAACCTGCTGTAAACACACAAAGTAACATGTTAATCAGTGAGAGAGCCTTTGAGGTGCTCATTGGTAGATTTTGTTAAACTCCGACCAGCTGTTTACCTCTGTTTCCAATCTTTATGCTAATCTAAGCTAACAGGCTGTGGCTTTATATTTACTGTACAGACATGAGGGTGATATCAGTCTCACCTTCCTCTCTCTATCAGTGTTCCTAAGCTTATTTCCCAAAATGTCAAACTATTCCTTTTTAAAGGAAAGCTTTCAAACTGCCTCCCGTCTTGTTGATTTGATGCTTTTGGGGTTTTCGTCCTGTAAAATCAGTTTGATGTTTGTCAGGTTACTGTTTTGCTTCTCAAAGCTAATTGAGAAAAAACTCCTGCGTTGATGTGCTTTACACAAAGACTGCGGCTTTAGCAACAAGCAGCTAGCATGTGACCTGTGAGGACGGCCGAGATGATCAGAGGAAAACTCTAAACGTGCGCATGCTTGATTTTTATTGAATTGCCTTTTTTTTTACAAGGCGAACAGAACAAATTGACGTCTGTGTGAAGCCTTTGATGTCGTGCTGCCTTCATGTCCTGTGGGAATAACAACAGGAAAGCGTTCCTGAGAGTTCAAAGTCCTGACCTGAAGGGATTCCCACCTGTTGAAACTTGTGTCATGGCACGCAGAGAGCATGAGTGATTACTGCGAACATATTTCTGTTACTCATGATAATTCCTCTCAGCTTTTTCACTCTCACCGCTGGGAAGTGACTCATATGAGATGAAACCAGCACAGGAAGTCCTGCCCTGCTGTCATATTTTAATGACTTGGAGGATGAAGATTGTTTTACTTCAAATAAGTTTGTCTGTTGTACTAAAATACTGAAGTGTCAGTAACCTAAAATTCCCAAGCAGCATTTACCAGTTAATATCAACACTATAGCGACTGTTTTTCCCACGTGACCTGAATGCAGCATCACAGATTAGACAGAGGAAACTGAACAATGTAGCTCCATGCTCCTCAACCCTGTATCACTGTGATGATGATGATGAGGGGGGCGAACTGGGACTGATGCCTTTTCAATGCAGCTTATTTCCTCCTCCTTTGTATTCTGTTTCCCTTCGAAAGCCAAATATGGAGATTTTTAAGGCATACAAGCCTTTTGAAGTAACACTGTTACTACTTTGTTTTCTTACCATCAGTCTCTGATGTTTTTCTTTTTTCCAAATTGGCTCAGAAACTATTTGTCTTCTCTTCAGGAGAGACGTGCTCCACCTCTCCAAAGCTGTTCTCTATATTTTCACGTTTATGTCTCTTCTATGTGCTTTAGTTTTTGTTTTTTCAAAAGAGAAAATAAATCTCTGTTTTTCTAAAATTGTTCCAGATCTTCTAATTCCTATCAGTTCCCCTGTTTTCCTGTTTCCCATTCCTAACATCTCATTTATTATACATGACTCATCAGACAGGCTGTGTGATGTGATTTAAGGACGGGGATCAAACCGCTCTGAGAGCATCATAAGGAATTCATACATAAAATGGGTGTAAATGACTTTGACAAACACCAGCTGCACGGCGTGGAGCACTGCTGAGGAGAAAACCCCACTGAAGGATGCTCTCTACGGTTAGAATATTTATTTTTAGATGTTTTTTAATGGTTCATTTAAGTCAGAATTATTCAGAATTATTTGCTGTCACAGTGTCCTCATTAAATATACATGAACTACATTTTTCCATTACTTTTGAAACACTTTCTTTCATTTTTAAAATCAAGAAATAATAAGTTTGCTCTTACCTGCACTTACATTTGTCGGATAAATCATAAATAGTAGCCAGACTGCTGAAATTTAAAGGGACAGTACACCCCAAAATTGAAAGCTAATTTTTTTTCTGTGGTCTTAAAGGTTTTTTTTTTTTTTTTTAAGGCTAAGGACCCCTGAGCTGAAAGAAAGATGGAGCAGGGGCCCCCTACAACATATATTGTACAAAATTGAGTCGTACTTGAGATGATTCTGTGAATACTTTTGGGCCTTCTCTCGTTTGTAGCTGCTAATTTAGCAGCAGTTGTAGCACGGCTAGCTGCTTTAGCCTCACCATCTTTACTTTCCTCGGTTGTTTCTGAGGTGGGCGGTGTGTACGAGTCTCTTGTTCGTAAAGTTACGAAACGATCCATCGAAGCTCACAAGATTGTCTGTACACTTGGAATAATAATACAGCTAATTGGCCAATATGTTTCAATAGTGCGTAAATGTAGCAACCATTTAGTAGTTGACCTCACCGTCATGGATAACTGTGATTTAGCGTTGGCTAGCTCAAACTATTGCACAATGATTCATGGGTAACAGGTAGCCTATCTTTAATGATGTGATGTCATGTACTGTAAAATTTTTATTTTTTTTTACATAAGCAGGCCGATTTATCTTTGCAAAAAAAAGTATTTTTTTAAGTTAGATACATGTTAATGTGTATTTTCAGACATATTTGTATTTTTGACCCAAAAAAACTTAAAAGCTCCAGTGTGTAGGATTTAGGTGGACATATTGCCAGAAATGGAATATAAAATAACAAGTATGTTTTCTTTAGTGAATAATCACTTGAAAAAAAGAATCATTGTGTTTTTGTTACCTCAGAATGTAGCGTTTATATCTACATAGATAGCGGGTCCTCGTCCACAGAGTCAGCCATGTTTCTACAGTAGCCCAGAATGGCCAAACAAAACAGTGGCTCTAGATAGGACCATTTGTGGTTTCGCATCAGCCACCATAGTTGGCAGCCCTGTGTGACAAATCAAACTGCTTTATTCAGTGTTTTAACCCGTTTAAATCACCTGGTTTATTTGTTTTGGAGAGGAAGAGACCTCTGTGGATAATTCAGCTCCTGGTAAAAAACCTCCTGAACAATGAACACTGAAGGAATTCTAACCAGAAGTTTCAGCTGGTTGCAATCTGCTATCTTCACCACTAGATGCCACTAAATCTACACACTGCTCCTTTAAAACTTAAATTCCCACACATTAATTTTGTGGCCCCTCTGCAGTCACTCTGATGTGTTGAAGATAAAACAATCTAGACTAAAATGTTGATGAACTGTCCCTTTTAAAAAGAAAATCACATTTTTCCTTTGTACTGTGGCTCATTGAAAACATCATAAAATACTTTTATTGGTTTTCCCCTCAACAGTAAAAAAAACATTGATAACAATGTCAATTTAATTCTCTCGTCTAACTCTCTGCACAGAAACAATAATTAATTTAAACTGATGAACATTTCAGAGCAGCCGTGATGAGAGACAAGGATCAGACAGACTGAGT